GTCGTCTGCGGGTCTTCCAGCTTTAAGAGTTGGCTTTTGAGCGCACCTGCAGCAGGATTGGTGGAGTGAAACATTTTCCGGGCATGTTGTCGACATTTTTATGGCTGCCACGTTTGCTTACTGTCCCGGTCCGTATCCTTCTCCTTTCGCCTGCCAGCCACTTGGCTGCCCAATTAAAAGTTTTAGCACATTTTCACTTGAAATTAATTGTCGGTGAACGTAATTCATGTCCGAGACACAATTGCGCTAAAGGAGCGCGGCGCAGGACCCAGGACTCACAAACAAAACCGGAGGGGAACAGGAGCTGCAAATGTGGCCAAGTGCACCATCGCCAATGAAGGCGCCACAGAAGGAATGGCAGGAGATAGCCGAAAGTATTTAGGGCTTGTGCCACTTTGTAGTTGCTAGCTGTTGCATACTTATGTGCGCTAATGCCGGAACATTTCAACTAACTGCCCAATTTCGGACTTTCGGCAAGAAAACTATGTGCGTCTCAAGTTCCTGCAGATTGCAGTGAGAGAAACTAGGGCTATGTAGTAAATGCAAATTCCAAGACGAACAGAAGAACACGGCTGTTGATACTGATCATGGATTTATGTATGTACATATGTACTTTATATATATGCAACTTGTGACTGAATTTAATAGGGGTATAAAAAACATAACTATGACGAATGACTAAATAGATTAAAAATAATTTAAAATGTAGTCCTGTTGTTTTCCATTGAACTTAACTTATTTTCTATTAGCTTAACAAACAGATGTAAAAAAAGAATGAACGACTATCAGATACTCGTTACTCAGCTAGTGGAAGTGCGACCGAGAAAATTCAACATTCTTTTTGGCATATCCATAGAAAATAGCAAGCCAAATAATACAATGAAACATATAAAAACATATTTTAAAATTGTGGGCGTGGCTGTTTGGGCGGTTTGTGGGTGTTACAAACTATCTCTGCGTCTACGTCTCTGAAACTACATGTCTAACTTCAACTTTCTAGCTTTTATAGCTGCTAAAATCTCATACGGACGGACAGACGGAATATATATACTTATTAGCCAGAATATATATACTTTATATGGTCGGAAACGCTTCCTTCTACCTGCTATTGAACACGCATTATAGGTGATTATAGTTATTATAGGTATTTACCTATGAACGTATCTAGTATACCCTTTTCCTCTACGAGTAACTGGTATAAATATGTATATATTCTTTTAAAAATTATCAAAACAATTTACATGATGATGTGACGTTTAACCACCTCATTATGTGCATATATAACAGTTAAAAGTGCTTAACCTTAAAAAGAAAATTACGTTTTCTGAACAATGGGAAACATCATTAAAGTAAAACTACACAAATCACGCCGGAACAGCGAGGTCGAGTTGAAGGGTCCACCGGTTTTGGCCAGTTCCCAGCGAACGCCATAAATACCAGCTCACCGCCAGTTGGCAGGAACAAAATGAAAATTTTCAATTAAGTTAAAGGCCACTGTCGATAGCGAGCCAATGTCATTAGCAGGAGCAGCGAGGCTACAGGACATAAATTAAAATCGAAGCCAGGGCAATTTAATGCCCATTCAATGGCAGTCCGAGGCAGCCAGGTGGCCATAAAATGACATAAAACGGCACATTTCGGTGTTTAAATAATGCTAGAAACTGCATTTAGAATCTGTCTGCCTTTGGCAGGTGGGCAGGTGGGCACTGGAGTATTCTGACCGCCGCAACTAATTGACAATTCAAAATGTTTTGGGATGCCAAGTGGAGCTGGCATGCCGGTCATAAAGTTAATAAGCAATTTGCATAACAAATTGTCTAAAACGCTGACAACATATCGCACGGCATGGAATGGCCAAATGTGAATCCGAATGGCACCGAGTGCAACTCTGCCCGGCTAATTTCGCAGGCTCCGTGTTGCGTATACGCAGTGTGGACCGCCTAGTGGGCATGCATTTAATTGTTTCCAACCGCACGGGCCCAGTCCCTCCGGTCATGGCACTCGTACACTTTGGATTTTTGCAAATGTGCATGCACGTAATTTATTCTCGGGCTGTTAATTAGCGCGACAACATTCTTGCGGGCGAGTTGGATGGTTAATTAACCGACTAATGGAGTACCTTTTGGCCTGCTCCTTAGATGGCTCAAAGCCGTTATCGTTGATTTATGTCTTTTGAATTTAGGAGTTCCACGACTCGATGGCGAGTTCATTAGGTTTCAGGAAAATAGCTTCTGTTGGTTTTTCATAACTTGAACTTTCGCAATTCAAAGCTGCTTTAGGTTAATCAATAGGAACTTTAAGTTAACGTGTACTGTATGCGTGGCTAAGACCAGAAGACTCTAAGTATTTAATTTTCTTTGTGGCAGGTAATGTATGATTTTGCTGATCTCAGAGGTAATTTGACATGTTGCAGAAAATCAGTATTCAAAATAAAACAAAATCAGTATTCAACAGTAGTAACACGGCATAGTAAGATAAGGGGCAAGCTCTATACCATTTATCTCAATAGCTTGGTGCTTCCCTTGCCAATTTCCCCGCTCAGCCTTCCGGGGACTGAAGCCTCGGTTTCAGTTTCCTGGTTCCACATACGGCTCTTCCTGAACAGGGTATCCGAATAACACGATTATGGGTGCGTTTAGGCGACCTTCCACGGCAATTAGCCAGTGTCAATTGTTCATGCCGCCGAGTGTGGGCGCGTGCGTGGGACATTAGTGGATGCATTTTTCTGCCACATCGGAACGCCCTGTATGCATAACGCTCGTATGTGTACATGTATATGTGGCAGGCAACTAGCTAACTGCCATTTGCAGCTGTTTCTATTTCCGTTCACTGGCCACAAAGCTGCAGCGCTGCTCAGTCCGGCCATTCCGTTGGTTCCGTCCGCTCCATTTTCCCCTGGGCACTACATCATTTGTAATTTGATGGGTTGGTTGGTGGACAAGGAGGGTCGAGGGCAAAGGACAGACAGATGGCAAGGAACTGTGCCTCAAAGTATGCAACACAATTGCGGCCAGGGCCATTATAATTGCAAACACACAAAGCAACACAATCGCTCAAACACGGACACGGCCCTTTCCATTTGCCCGTCGAAATGCATTTGCTGTTAGCAGTTGCATTTTGCATTTTGCATTTTGCATTATGCTTTGCTATAATTAAATGATTATCAATTTGGCAAATATTTGATTGTGCCCTGCTGCGGAGGGAAAGCTAATCAAGCGTAAATTGATCTCAGCCAGCACAAATAAATGACCAGAGCTCTAGTCGAAAACATCAGGGCTCCTTTTTGATGGGGGAAAATCAATATCGTACACTTAGAAGGAATTTTCTTTTTTATACTTTTAGGTACCAAATCTGAAGGGCTTTAAATATCATAGATACAACAGCGTTTGGTTGTAATTTCACTTTTTGCTGAAAATTATATTCCTCTGTGCGTGTTGATCTGAAATTTATTATTTTATAAATTTATTCTAAATTGATTAATGTTTATTTGAAATGGCACATGTAAGTAGTAATCACTATTTCTGATCTTATGGTTTGCTTTTTCGATCATCAACTTATTTAATTAATAATATCTGTTTAGAAACAATAAAATCATTATTATTCTCGAAACTCTTCTGATTGCTTATCTAATGCTTCTTGGAGTTTCTACAAAATGCAAAATAACCTAAGCTTAATAGTTATAATAGTTTAATAGTATATAGTTTAATAGTTTAATAGTTAATAGAAATATACTTCATACTGGCCAGTTTTTCGTTGACCAACATGAAGACCTCTGAAAAAATATCCATATTTGCATATACTTAAGGAATCCACTTAGTGGATGTGTTAAATTGAGTGGGAAGTTAAATAAGTATGTTCCGATCGCAGAAATGTGTACAATCACATGTGTAAAATCAGTAATTGGGTAGTACTAATCGATAAGTTGGCCCTAGGCACTGAAAGAATTGGCTCTGAAATACAAGGTACTGAAAGACATTTGAAAAAATCGCCTCATGTGGGACGCAACTACCTATATCTTATAAATACACAATAGACCAAGAAAGCTCCCACTCCTGTCTCTGAATTCGTTACTTACGTTTAAGATAATCTAAGTGCAGGTGTATTTTTAAGTTTATAAGACTTTAAAGAATCTGCGCTTCTGTATTCGTATATTTCATAAAATTGTAACTTATATAACCAAAGATAGATAGGCCACAGAAAGTGCAGAAGCTTCGTGGCCAATTGCAATGCGTACTTTTGAAAGCAACAAAATCAATACAAAACGCGCGGGCCGTAAAATACGCGAGTGGCTAATAAATTACGAGAACGTAAAACAAAACAGAAACCGTTTAAACAATTTACTTGAGAAATGAGTTTGTGGACCTGCTTCTGGCTGGGGAATCGAGTGCCCGGATGTGGAGAGGAGGAGGGATCCTTCCTCCACCAAGCGGAACAGCAGGCTGCCCGAAAATCAATTCGCTACATCGCCGTTTGCTCGGCCCAGCGTGTAATTTCTCAATTTTTGGCGATTTAGTGCGTTGTTTCTCGTTTTTCCCATTCTATGAGTCGCCTCCTGGTTAATTTGGTTCCATAGCCGCGATGGAGGAGCGGGGCGCGGCGGATGGGGTGTCAAATGAGGGATAGTCCACATAGCCATCTGCCATGGCTGCACTATTTATAAGCTGCCAGCATGAAGACGCCGTGCTCCTTGGCTCGAACTTCCCAGTGGCGCGCTCCTTTGTTCAAGGATTGCAATAAATCCAGTGACTTGGAGGTACGTTCGAGATAAGTGCCTGGATGGAAAACTATCCCGGCGTTTAGGTTCAAGCTGGCACGGATAAATGGCGGATATAGAAGACCGACGATGGCAGATAATGTTTGTAAGTGATACCAGTGATGTAAGTGATATCAGGCAGAGGGTTATTGCCTTAAGCAGCAACAATCTAATATTAGCAAGCTAAGAGAACGTAATACAAGTAACCAACCAGAGCAGTCAATATCCAATACAAATTCCAGATTAATGCTATTCATAAGAAGAGTGGTTTTTAATTCACTGAAAAACAAACATGTTATACTCACTCCTAGTATAAAAATGTAAATAAATATATCTCAGCAGGGTTTTGCAATTTCAGGGCGTTAAAGTGGATTTTTTATATATCAATGGAGACTTATGTTTAAAAATCAATACAATTAAAATCTGCTTGTTTAGAAGCGATTTTTCCAGCTCAGTTGCTCAGATCTCGAGGATCATACGGACAGAGAGTCGGACGGACATGGCTAGATCGACTCTACGAGTAAAGGGAATAAGTGAAATCTGAACTAATCGTGTTGACCGCTGACTTACACATATCGAGTCGGTTTTATTCGCTTAAATTTGAGATTATAAAAAGACCTTTATCTATTTTAACTTTTCATTGCACCGTGGGTTTGGCTTATTGCGCTTGCAGCACGATTCCAAGTCCTTTGATCTTCTCATCAATCCAGGCGCGAAGATAGGGCACGTTGACGTAGACGGCCGGAATGTCTTCCATGGCGCACTCGACGCCCCAGGACACGATGCCCACCAGCTGGTACCGATCCTTTTCGCCAGGCATTTGGCAGAAGAGCGGTGAGCCGCCGTCGCCCTTGCAAGTGTCCTTGCCGGAATCTCCGCCGGCGCAGATGAAACTCGGTCGCAGACGGAAACGAGCCTCAAGTCGCGTGTTCCGCAGCTTCGCCTGGCACTCTTCCCGCTCCACCAGCGGCAGGTTAATCCGCTTGAGTACGTGCTCCAGCTGGTCGCTGTCCGCCTGCTTGCTGCCCCAACCAGTGGCGTAACAGGTGGACGAGAGCAGCTGGTTGACCAATTCCGGAGATTCCGGAGGCGGCAGGCACAGAGGCTGGATGTGCGGAGCCAGGCGGATGGGCTCGTCCAGGAGCAACAGTGCTATGTCGTTGTACAGCGAGTACGGATTGAATTCGGAGTGCATGATGATCTCCTTAATACGGCTGCCCTGGTGCGGATACGGCTCGTTCAGGCTGTTCAGATCCCAGTCGCCAGCTCTGGCCACCAAGGTGTCCACCGTCTCGTTGACGAGATTGTGCGAAGTGGTTACTACCAAGCGCGGATGGATGAGGGTGCCGCCGCATAGGAACTCTTGGCGGCCAGTGAAGATGCCCACCATCCAAGGGAACTCTCCGAAGAGGGAAACGTCCTCCGCGTAGGGGAACTTGTCGTTGTCGGGAATCAGACCATTTGGATTGCTATAGCCGCAGTTGTTGTACTGAAAATTCGCCTGCTTCGCCAAGTAGGGGCTTTGGCTATCATCCACCTGGAAAAGTCTCAATGGATTAGAATGGATAACTGCGGACACCAATGTTCATGGGCTGACCTTCTGATCCACGGCACAACAGCGGTACAAGGACTTGCTGCACTGGATCGTGCTGATCCTCGGATTGATCAGGCTGATCCCGGAGTCGTTGATGATGTTGTCGCGGCACAGCTTCCTGGGCACACACTCCATATTGACGCCGCAGCTCTCGTTCGGCGGCGGCTCCAGAACACTGGCTACCTTGTTTCGAATCGGTGAGAGCTCGGATCTGTCATAGCTCTCCAGCTGAGCCTTCTCGCAGCACACCCTTTGGGTGCCGCAAAAGCGGGAGCTGCGTGGCTTAATGCCCTTCCGACCGGAATCGTCCGAGATCTCGCAACGCTCAACCGAGGTGCACAGTTCGTCCGGGAGGCACATCGCCGAAACCGTGTCCTGGGCCTTCGAGTAGGCACATAAGGACAGGAGGAGGAACCCCGCTGAGATCAGCCAGCTCATCTTCGGTGCTGGGAAGCTGGCGGAGTGAGAAGTTGTGAAAGAACACTAGAGATAAGTGAATCTCAATCAATACACAATTGGGGTTATCGGCATCATTAAAATGAATACTTGTGCACTCGTGATTAAATGTTAAAAACAAATCAGTCATAGGACCATAGACCTCATATAATATACTAAGTAATACTTTAACACACCTTATCCTATAAATAATAATCCGATAGCACTAGTATCTCATATTTGGTCAATTGTACAGCTGTAGCAAAGTATTATGGAGTAATTGAAGTATTTGTGCTTATTTTAAACATATAATGTCCATTGGATAAATCACGGAAAAAAGCCTTCCAACTATCATTAAAATTGTAGCTTTCACACACACTTCACACCAATGTCTTCAAGCGGAAATGCAATGTAATCTTTCCAATTGTCAGTAGACTTGACTGCAATTTATTGTAGAAGTTTTGTTATGAATAGTTGCCCTCGTCGACATACATAGTACACATTACAACTCAAGAATGCGGATAGCTAGGCGTATATACTGCAAATTTATACCTATCTGCTAGTGCAGCTTAATGTAAAGACAACTACGATTGGAAACAACCTCGTAGCTACCGACTCGCGATGTCGACTGATCGAATTGAGATGAAATCAAAGCATTTATAGAACCTGCTCGGAAGTATCTGGGAACCGCAGCGCGAAAGCGAACGTGAGAGATACAGCCTTATAGAGAGAGTGAAGAGGTCTGGGTTTTCCCATCCCGATCTAGGCACGCAGCTAACCAGTCGAGTCCCTGGTTAACTCCATCTGGATCCTGTAAATTCTTCAGATCATTCAGACGTATATGGTTTGGTTTTATTCTAAGAAACAGCATTTCTACAGCATCGTAAATGAATGGCTTTCCATAAAGTTCTATATTTCTTCGGGAAAATCCATTGATCTTGGACTTTTCCCTTCATATATTCATTTACACATCGAGTAAAGTGTAATGGCCTTTCATGAACATATGAAGTAGACGACATATTCGCATTGGAAGACAAAGACATCACCGACATCATTACAAAGGCGACTGATCGCCTATAGTTGAGTTCAATGTATTTATAGTTAGAACCGGCTTTCTGGATTCTGAGAAGTAGTGTGCCGATCGGAAGAGAAGTGAGTTTGTTGAGCGAAGGCGATTGTGAGCTACCAAGTGATTAAGTAATTCTAATAATCTCCGGCGATCGGAGTCTCCCATAATATCGCCAATCGCTGCGAGGGCAGAGTCAGTCGAAAACGCGTCGCGGCTCTTGAAAGTAGTACAAAGTGAACTGCGCATTGATCTAGCTGAAGTCGTGGGGTTATTCGGATCTCAAACAAATTCCCAACAATTTGTTTGGCGCAGTTGAGCGGAGCGAACGAGTGCGGTTTTTCCCATACGAATTCCAGTCGACGCCATGAATGTGGAGCAGGTGTTGCTGATCAGTCTGGCACTGGTTTCCCTCGCACCAGCGGGTCACTCGATCCGCACCTGCGGGAGCCACCAGGTTTGCGTTAGCAAGCAAAGGTGCGACGAGACGGATGATTCCGGCAAGGGGAAGCTGGTCAAGCGCATACTGGACAACAGCTGCGGGCTTGGCTTGGAGTGCTGCGATAAGGAGCAGCTGGAGAACTACGACGCCTATCAGGCCGAAGTCGAGAACCGGAATCGGCGACGGGGCAATCCCTGGTCCTCCTCGGATAACCCCCTATCAGCCGCTCCGGTCTACAAAAGCTGCGGCGTCCGGCGAGAGTGTGTCCCGCGGCACCTCTGCACCACCGGAGTGGTCAACGAGGATGGCCGGTACATCATCAAGCCGCGCATCAATGAGGACAGCAACTTCGGCTGCCGAATCGTGGAGGAGTGCTGTCCGCTGGACGACCAGGTGAGAGGTCAAGCAGGGCGTGTATTAAATCATTCGCCAGTGTGAGTTATTGTGATTTGATTATAGGGGAAAGTAAGGTCAGCTCAGGAGGCTGGCACAATTCCCAGTCGCAATTATAATAATAGCTTTTGATGGTGCTAAACAAATGCTGGGCTTATCTGCAAGGAATTTCCAAAACAAAGATGTTTGCAGTTTTTGACTTGGCTATTCGCTGCGGGACTCAATTCAACTTGATTGCCTGTCGTTCAGTTTTCAGACTTAACATACGCATTTTTGCAGATCGAGGAGGGTCGCAATCCCATCCAGCGCAACGTGAAGGACTTCCTTCTGAAGGGCTGCGGCTACAGCAATCCCAAGGGGCTCTACTACCAGCTGGATGGGTACAACAATGGCGAGTCCGTCTTCGCCGAGTTCCCCTGGACAGTGGCGTTTATGGACATGGAGGGCAACTACGTCTGCGGCGGCACCCTGATCCACCCGCAGTTGGTGCTGACCAGTGCACACAACGTGTTCAACCAAACTGAGGACTCGCTGCTGGTTCGAGCTGGAGACTGGGACCTGAACAGCCAGACAGAGCTGCACCCCTACCAGATGCGGGCTATCAGCGAGATTCATCGCCACGAGAACTTCAACAACCTGACCTTGTACAACGACATTGCTCTGGTGGTGCTGGAGCGGCCTTTCCAGGTGGCACCGCACATCCAGCCCATCTGCCTGCCGCCGCCAGAGACGCCCCGAATGGAGGCCGAGTTGCGGAGTGCCCACTGCCTGGCCACTGGCTGGGGGCACAGAAACAGCACGTCCCGCACCATGGAGAACCTGCTGAAGCGCATCGAGCTGCCGGCGGTGGACCACGAGTCCTGCCAGAGCTTGTTGCGGCGCACTGTCCTTGGGCGCCGCTACCGCCTCCATCCGAGCTTCATTTGTGCCGGCGGCGTGAAGGGCAAGGACACCTGCATGGGCGACGGCGGCTCCCCGCTGTTTTGCACTTTGCCTGGGCAGAAGGATCGCTACCAGCTGGTGGGCATCGTGTCCTGGGGCATCGAGTGCGCCGAGGAGGATGTGCCCGCGGCCTACACCAATGTGGCCTATTTGCGGAGCTGGATCGATGAGCAGGTGACGCGGAGCGGGTTCCCATTAATAGAGGGCTTTTAGTTGTTAGGTTAGGTGCACAGTTAGCATGTAAATCAATCTCAAATAAAATTACTTTAATTATTTGCAGTTACAGTCCGTGTTGCAGTTGATAATTTTGTCCTCTTCCTAAATCTGAATTTCACAAATGTTGGCTTCTTGTAGAGGCATTGATATTGCCATATAATCTTACCTATATTAGTATTACATTCATAAATACTCTTACTCTACGTGCAGTTCTTAAATTCCTCCGTGTTATTTCCCCGGAAAAGTTGTGTGCGTTGAAAAATTAAATTTCCATTGCTGAGAAATGGCCTGCACTCCCAAACGGTTTCAAATTACCCAATTTGGGCGCATAAGCCACATTGAGTGGTAGAATGGAATGGAAACTAATGGCGGAGCAGGTGAAAGTTTCCCGCCATTCAATGCAAGATTTATGTGTGGCTAAAGCCGCAGATTCTGAGTGCAGAAGGTCGTCTAAGCGGCTTAGGTTTCGGCTTGAGGGCGAAATGAATCTATTCCTCTGCTGCCTCGGCGTATCAATTTGCATTGTTAATTGCTCGGGGCGCAGTTGAAAAACCACAACGAACAATCAACTATTTCCCGTGACTCACAGTCAATTAGAATGGACTACATATATATTGCAGCGGCATCTTTGGTTTGTTTATTTTGACAGTGGCTTAAAAGCTGCACAGCTTCATTTGCAAGGCAAAAAGTTAATTAGTGAGTCACTTTTTCTCAATTTGCAAGCTACCACATTTTCCGGCTAATAAGCAAATTAGACAAGGCAAACAAGAAATCCGTTGGGATAGCAGGAATAATTAGGACCGCAAGAAAATGCAGACTAAAGGGCAGCACCAACTGAGGGATAAAATATAGCTAGTGCTGGAAAGACTTTTATTTTTTGAGTAAAAGAGTCTGCTAATAATAGATTTAGCAATTTAAGATCTGCCACGGAAATCGTTTTAAAGTTTGATGCGGACCTACGGCAAATTTACACTACACGAAGCATAAAAAATTCAGATATCGGTAGCTAACTGAGTCACTGACTGGCTGACTGGCTGACTGATTGCTCATACGCACCGTTGGCTGCCACTGGAAATGTGCCGTGCCTGCTCCAGCGCCCAGCTATCTACTGGATTTCAATAACCAACTCTGCCGAAGCCCGTGGCTCATGGAATATGAGTTTTCGGCTAGTTTTGCCTGCCTGCCAGCTGAAACATTTTATGGAGCTACAAATCAAATTTGCCGGGCACACGTTCACATAAATCACCCTGGGCCAGCATGAATCTCTTTGATCCCTAAAAAAATGGGAGAGAAACAAAATTATCATGGTGCTCTGCTAGCCATTTGACAATTTGCAGGAAAACTGAAATATTATCTAAACATTTCGGACTGCCGTGCCCCGAAAATGTGTGCATTAAAATTGCAGCCTCGTGTGCGCAATAATTAAGAATTCAATTTCAACTTTTGCAACTTTTCCCCACAACAGGAGGCAGTCAGCAGGCAGCAGGCAGCCGGCAGCAGGATGCAGGATATGGCATCAGGTGGCTCAGAGTTGCGGCTGCCACTGTGGCCGTGTAAAGTCAAAAAGCCGCAACATCATTACGCTTTGCATTTGCATGCAGCCTGAGTTCCCCGAGCTTCTGCTCACACACGGAAATCGCAAAAAAGCCAGCCGGCCCACCTGGCGTATGAGCAATAAAACGCATCTGCTGCGAGGTTGGCCCATATGTGCCTGCTTTCGTCCTTTGCGTGTCTCGAATGGCCTGACTTGATTAAAGGATAAACAGCCTGCACTTAGCCTGGCCGTAAGGTTTAAAGTAATAAAGCATAATTTGGATGAGAGCGTTTCAAATGTAGCCAAAATTAAAAGTGCACGTGCACAGCGCGTTCAAAAGTAGTTAATATCCCACTTTTTCTTAGAAAATGCTAAGCACAAACATTGCGTTGTGCTTAATAAAAAATAAAAAAAATTATTTCAGGAATTTCATGTCATTCGATGTATTTTTCTAACAATGCAGGCTACAGTGAATTCTGTTATCGATGGGATGAAATGGTCGATCGGTTATCAAACTGGCGCACAACGCGCCGTCCGAGAATGGATCGAACGTCCTTGGTGAAGCGCAGGGCATCGAGGAAGGGCAGCAACTTGAGGAGCTCCGTGTCGTCGGGATCGTAAATGAATGTCTTGATGGGAACAGCGTTGTCGGGAAAGTCGCGGTAGGCGTACGGCGAGTTGTCGATGATTAGGACGCCGCTCATGTCGGGAGTGACCAAGGAGAGGTCCTTGGTGAGCAATGGCGAGGAGGCTCGGCAGTGCTGGCGATAGAAGCGGCGAGACATCCTTCCCTGTCCCGCGTCCAGGAGGTCCACCACCTGGGCAGCATAGACCTCCAGACTGGCCGTGTAGACCACCAGGTCGTACCACTTGGACACGAAGTGCAGGAACTCATCGACATGCGGCCGCTTGAAGACCCGAAACACGATCGGTTCGGACATGGGTTCGATGGAAACGTTGAGCACATAATCCGGTTGCGCGTGATCGGGCAGCTGGCTGCAACCCACGTTGTCATGGGTATCCGGATCGTAGTAGCACGAGTGCACCAGAGTCTCATCCAGGTCCAGGACCAGGGTCTTCCGGCCCACAATGGCCAGTCTGTGCGCCATGTCCGGGGACACGAACACTTCCCGGAAGCTAAGCCCCAGATACGGGCGAAGGATCGCACATGCCTTCTCCACCACACGGGCCAAAAGGCCTCGGATGTAGGTGACCAGGTCGCTGGCGAGCAGGATCGAGACGAGACCCCGGCGGCCGGAGCTCGAACCCGATCTCTGGAGGTTGCTGACCACGACAACGGGCAGCTCGCCGGATGGCGCGAGCTTGACTAAATCTGCGGACTGTGAGGGCAGCTGACTGACCATATTGCACCCGAGTCCTTTCAAATTCAATGTGCAGGCCTCGCTGTCTTACATTATATCCCGGCTCCCGGCCTTACCTTGGATTCAATTTAAGAGTTTTGCTGGTTGTTGAGCCGAATGGGAAGTGTCAGTAGACGCAGGGATGACAGGTTTCCCCGAAACTTCTCCGAAACCTTTGACTTTCCATTGACAGTTTCACATAGTAGACCTTTGCAGCAATGGAGACCCGATAATTGTGCCAGTTATTTTCGGGATTTCGGTTCGTTCACACACACAGCACTGCAATGGCCACCGAGGAGAAGTACGTGCCCAATGCCTTCGATGCGGAGTTCGATGACTTCTGGGACAAGGTCAGCTGCTTCGCGGCCAACTCGTTTCCCTTCGCGGAACGCTGTGCCTTTGTGCTGAAGGCCAAGGATTGCAATAGGAGCACCAATGTGCTGCCCTACATGAGGATCATGGCCTGCGACCTGAACTGCGTTAACGAGTTCGAGCAGGTCATCGTCCTGGCACTCTTCATGGCTCTCTGCTATGGGATACTTGTGCTGCTGATCCACGTGTGCCACAAATAGTAAGTCCACGCCCTGTACCTCCAATCCCTGACCGGTGGCTCATTATACTGGCTCATTCGGGAAATCATAGTCAAATTGCCATTTCTCAGAGTAAAATGGTTTATTCCATGTACTACAGAGCATACATTTATGTCACATCCCACCTCAATCCCATAGCTACAGTCCTGCCCTGAAGGCCGTGTCGCGGTTCCTCCGTATGAACGAGCACGTGGCGGGCGTGACCCTGTTGGCCTTTGGGAACAGCTCCGCCGACCTGTTCTCCAATTTGGCCGGTGTGAAAGCGAATGTGCCCGTGTTCGCCAACAGTTTGGCCGCCGCCCTCTTTGTGTCCATGGTTTCGGGAGGCCTCATCTGCTACACGAGTCCCTTCAAGATGAACGCCTACGAAAGTGTTCGGGACATTCTGTTTCTCATCTTCGGATCGATGCTTCTTCAGTACTTTTTGGCCACCAAAGCCCATGTACCCGAAACGACATTCGCAGGCAAGCTTTTAGCTTTTGGATAAATCATCATCATAGTAACTAATATTCCTCCGCCCTCGATCCTAGTCATGTTGCTTGTATACATTTTCTACATACTAGTGAATGTCGCGGATGTGTACCTCATCCGGAGGGCATTGAAGAGTAAGTGGCTGAGTTACTTTCGTTGGAGGGGATTGTAATTGCAATTTTCCAGCGACGAATGCACAAATCGATGCCCTGTTGGAAGGCGAAATGACTGCGGAAAAGAGAAAGCGGCTGAGTGTATTGGAAAAGAACCAGGTGATCTACTCCCGTGACATGGAAGTGGAGATTTTCGAAAGGACCAACTCGGGTCCCAACATCAACAAAATGAGGTACACCACCTTGAGAATGGGCCGCAGCACTCGCATCAGCATCAACAAAAAGGCCACTCGGAATGTATTGCACAACCGAGCTCTGGGAAAGAACTGGGGACTCTTCAAGGACTTCATCATAGCCCTGAGACCCATCACCTGCGAGGAGTGGCGCAGAGCCAACATAATCCAGCGGGCCTTTAAGTTGACCCAAATCCCAGCTGTGATCATCTGCAGCATCTACATACCTCTGGTCGACTACGAGCTGGACAAACATGGCTGGAACAAGCTGCTGAACTGCATCCAAGTAATGCTGAATCCGGCAATGTCCATTATGGCCATTAAAGGTGATTTCAGTAGGGGCGTTTTCCTCCAGAGCTTTAGATGGTAATCCAGTCTCCTCCGATAGCTTTGTTGAGCTCTAGGGGCGATTCGCTGTGGTACGTTGCCATGGGCGAGGAATTCATGTATGCAGTGTATTCCCTGCCCATAACCGTGCCAATAGCGGTTTTTATGTTTTTCCAATCGCGAACTGATGTGCCACCATTTTACCACTCGGTGAGTTGCAGTGGAGGCTGCCTCAGGCTAAGGTAAATCCTGTTTCGAACTCGCAGGTGTTTACAGTGATGAATCTGACTGGCTCCATGTTTACGATCTTCATTTGCGCCACGGAAATAGACAAGGTGCTGGAAGTTATTGGCCACATCCTGAAGGTGGAGGACGACTTCATGGGCGCAACGGTGAAGGCTTGCACAGGTAGTCTGGGTCCGCTAATTGCCAACGTGGCGATGGCCTTGCACGGATATCCCAAGATGGCCTACGCCTCGGCCATCGGAGGACCCTTCTTCAGTGAGCGTTGTGCGTGCCAATTGGAACCTCCTTAATAAGCTCTGAAACCATAGCCATTGTCGTGTCCGCCAGCACTGTGATGCATGTCAAGAATCTATTTGGACTCCCGGTCTCGGAAGCAAACCAAACGGGCAATTACGGCTTAAATGCATTCATTTTTCTGAATCTGGGCCTGTTTTCCACACTCCTCTGGTCCACGACGCTGGGATTTTTCGCCAGACGCTCCGTGGGCATATTTTGTATCGTGTTTTACTGCATTTACCTGCTTTTTGCTATCTTAATTCATAGGAAAATCATACACTCCTTTTCTATGGACTTGCCCATCAAGGCAGCCTTTGGAGACATCTAGGGAAAAGGGCTTTTCTATTTATATATGCAAATTCCGTGTACCTATTTCACATGTAAATAAACATTTCCTAACTTTTACCTACCCCTGGTTTCAATCATTTCACCTGCATCTTCATCATATCAGCTCAATTAACCTGATGCAGTGGGTCACTAGGACTGCGTAGCCGATGGCAGCCGATTCATTAGCCCCCAACAAGAGCGCTCGGCTACGGCCAGCGGATTAGCAGACATGGGCGGAAGGTGAGCTGGAATGGCTACAGTGACAACTACAAGGCCAGAAACTGGGCTTTGCAGTCGCTTGACATTAATTAGGGCTTGCACAATTCAGCAATACAGCTGTAAATGTAACAGCCTTGCGTATATGCAACCCGTCCACTGGCTAATTGAGTTATAATGCTAAGCGGCAATTTATGGCTAGCAGTATTAGCGGCGTCCAGGACTGCAGACCATCACCAGGCATAAATCTTCTCTTCCAAGCAATTTAATATGGTGTGTACTCGCTCCATAAATAAACGTGCCCGGCTGGTCTGAAATATTTTCCATTTAACCAACTGACAACTGCAGCGCAAAGTTTTACAGCGGAAATAGCTAGCTGCAAACTGCAACGTGAAATATGTTTGCCTCCTTCTTGGAATGTTCCCTGTTTATTAAGAGAAATTATGAGGTTTTCTCGTTTCCTTCTCACTTTATAAATAGTTTTATAAAAACTTGAGAGTTTTTGCAGATACAGAAAACAACAGATTGACCCACAACATAGCACATAAACCAAGTAACTTTAAATGCCAAGCGTCACATGAAAGAATAATGTGAAAACGATTAACTCACACGTTTCCAAAACACCAAAGTACCTATAACTATCCATAAAAAGAGTCAGTAGCGATAAGACGGACCAGGACTATAAATAAGTTCATTCATGAGCGTTAGTAACTGAGCACGAACGGTTGCATTTAATATATTAAACAATAACAATAGCTACTGATAAGGAGCAGAGTATATTTCCGCAGAATACAAGAATAACTAGAATTACTGGAACTTGGCATGAATCCAACCCCAAAGACACATCATTTGAAATCAATTTCCCGTCTTGCATAAACCATCTCTAGCAATCTGGGTGCGATTCGGCACTTGGCCTTTAAATATTTGATGACTTTCACACCGAATCCGGCCAGAACCAAGCCAATAGCACCAATAGCACAGAAAAAAGGACTTCTCCTTCCATCTTGCAGTTTTTGCATTCGATTCGGGACTGCAAGTCTATGTAAAAACGTGAAGGAGAATGCAAAACAATTTGGTAACAAGCAAAATGCATCAAATCTCATGGCCACGGAGCTCCTTCCAAGCCGACTGAATCGGAATACGAATTGGAATCTCGAGTGGCGAGTTGCGAGTTGCGAGAGGAGAAACCAAAGCTGTTGCAAAAACATGTCACATTAAGTGCACAGATAGAGGTTCTGGCGGACGGATGGGCGGATGGACGGATGGGCAGATGGACAGATAGACGGGAAGTCTGGAGGAAGCTGAGTGCTTTTATTGCTGCCGGAATTCTGCGTGCCATTTGCCTTGGAAGTTGGAGCTGCAAGCTAGCTGCACTCCGTCTTTTTGCTCTTGTTTATGCAATTGTACTTAAATCCAATGGTTATGTTTCAGCTGCAGTTGCCATAATGGCCGGAATCAAGTGGAATTTACATCTGCAGTCAATATTAATACTACCCTGCACGAAGCACCGAGGAAATAGTCGGGTTTAGATCTTTTTCTGTAGTATATATTTGCTGAAGTTTAATCCAAGAATATAATTATATATTCAAGAAGATCTTTACCCTGCGTTGAATCAGCTTATCAGTGCACTGATCGACTGGCTTAGTTTATCTACAAAGTTGAAGCATCTAGACGCTGGTCCCTCAAATGTTGACGGGATCCAAACTCCAGCCACTTTAACCGTAATTAACGAGGAGCTTCCCCATCGTTTCGTTGCCATCAGATTCCCTTCATTATGCACTACGCTTTTATTCTGTGAAAATCTGGAGGGAGAACTGGAGCGTCGGGACAGGACAGATTGCCAGGGGAGTCTCCTTCTGCATTTCAATGGACCTCTGCCAGTTTTTTGCTCACAGCCGACGCCTTTCGAAGGCATTTCCTCTGGCAATGTTTTAATCATGATACTTCATACACTTAATTAGTCAGTACGTTGGCTGTCGTAAAAGCCCGGTTATATTCGTATATTTTCAAAGCAATCATATTTGGCAGTACTAGCATCTGAACAAGGCTGAGATAAATTCATGCAATATAAAATGCTTTGGAAAATATACTCGTACCTAGTGTAAGCAATAAGTCATTAAATATTTATTGAAGGAGCTATTTACTTGTTTTCTGTTTATTACACAACCAAATCAAGACCAAAGGCAGATTCCCAATCATATTGGCTTAAAGTATTGGTCTCTGGAAAATTCATGAACAAGCTCCCACTCCACACAGACCGCAAATAGGAGGAACTGGAAGTACAGAAGCCATAGAAAAACTCCAGCGGATCTGCGAGCGTGGAAATTGAAGGTGACGCTCCACCACAACGTGGTCACAATGGTTATCACCAGGAAAAGGTAGCAGTTGTCGCCCAGATCGCCGTACACCCACGATTCGGCGCCGGATTCGCGAACTCTGTGATTGAACATGAAGGCCAAGCTCATGCTGATCAAAATCGCTGAAAGGTCGAGTACATCTGGAAACCAATGGGGCAAAATATAACTCCCGCTTACCAAAAACTGGACCTCCTATAATGGCGGCAAACGCCATACGGCCGTAGCCCTGCAAGGCCAGCTGGTAATTGGCTATAATGTCCGGAGTGGCATTCGAGACAGCTCCAAAGGTGACCGCCATGAAGGTCTCGGACAGATTGAATACGATGCCCACGATCTCAGAGAGCACTTCCAGTTCGGTGGCGGCGATCCAGAGGGTCACCATGGAGCTGAAAAAAGTGAGGATAATAAACAGCTAGGAAGCAGGGGTGATACCCATTCGAGTCTATTTGGTCTGCAGAGGTGCCGACTTGGGACTTCTTACGTGGTGATAGCAGGGCGGCACATCCGAGCGAGAGTGGAGGAAAATCCCAATGGCCAGCGGGACTGTCAGGCACGGCGACCACATGGAGAGACTGAAGTCGAGGGTTATGTGCCAGCTTTTGTAGACGCTGGACACCCCAGCTGAGGGTCAGCGGGATTTAGGAATCAGAAACACTTTCAACATATTCCCGCAGACCTACAGTGCACCAGGGTAATGACCACGAATGGGTTCGTCACGATCTGCGTGCAATTGAGCAGCTTACTCCAGCCGTGCTTGACCTTCTCGTAGTCCACCACCGGAATGAAGAGCTGAAGTACGAACACCAGGGGGCACCTGGCAATCAGGTATACTCGACTAAGCCACCCACCCAGCTGCCACGCCTCTTCATCAACCGGATTGAGGGACTGGAAGAACTCCGTGAATAGTTGGAGGTTTCTGGGGTTCTCCGGGTTATGCAGCCGTGTGCGATTGGTCTCGTAGTCAATGTGTCCCGGTAGGTTTTCTGGGCGGGGAGTCACAAAGTAGCCACTACTGGTCATATTGGAGAACTGGTTGCTCGTATCTCTGGACCGACGATACTGCGTGGTGTCCTTAATCCCAATATCATCCTGCTCCTCCCACGAAGTTAGTTTTCTTAGCTTTGCATTTATTTCGTTGGTTGGTGGAGGAGTCAAGCTTCCCAAATAGTCCAGTTCTCTTCGAAGTTCTGGAAGGTAAATGTAATTAAGTGCTATTATAATTGGAGTAGAGAACCCTTACTTTTGATGTAGTGGCGCAACAACGCCAAATCAGCTATATTGATCGCCACATAAACCACGTAAATTGAGAAGAGCACTGAAAGTAGGTTCAGAGATCACGAGTCCCGGCCAATTTAGAATGCAAGATATTCCTACCTATACCCTCTCCTAGGGTCACTGCTCCCTCCTTGATCATCACGAACCTCAGGACCTCCACACCCAGGAGAAGAAACAGTAGATCTCGCAGAGTGGAATGTCCGTTGATCTTGAAGGGTCTCAGAAAACACACTGTACCTCCACTCAGCAGAATAATGGCCAAAATATTACCGACAGCTATGGTAAAGATGGGTGCATCGGCCCTCACGGGCATCAGATTGGCTATTATTTCTGGACTACAGTTGCCAAATGCCAGAAAGGTAACGCCTGCCAGGTACTCATTCATGTGCAGCTTTATAGAGATTATCTTCAGGACGGGGGAAAAGCTGCGGGTTTTCAAATGGGCAATGGGAGAACTGTGTACTTTATCCTGGAACTCACTAGGTGCCGATATTGAAGGACATTAGCCACAGGAACGCTACACATATGAAGCCAAACAGGAACATAAGCAGGACCTCTGTTGCTTTGTCATGGATGTCAATTGAGCAATACATCATCCTGAAGTAATTGAAAAAGTTTATAATGCGTTTGCAGTCACTGACCTGGGTGGCCATCCTGCAGCGATATGTGTAAGGAAGTCTCATCACGGCCCTACAACTCATCTGTAAGAGCAATAAATGTTATGGTCACCAATTCCTCTCAGCACTCGATCTTACATTCTTGATAAAGTAGTGGAATTCGTAGTCCAGATCTGTTAGGTTAAATCTAGGCCTTTTGGTGCGCACGCTCATTGCATTCACTTTCTGTCCACAAAGTCAAAAGTATGTGGTGAGATATTTATTTAGAACTGACGGAAATCGAACAACACTCCCAGACTTTTTCTACAAACCCATTCATGTGGCCAATTCGTCGACCCCAGCCCATTGATAAAGCATTTACCCAAAAGAACCACCTTCATAAAACGCTGAATAAATCAACATCCGAAGATTGCGATTGTGACGAGGCTCACGCCAAGGGTCTTCCCCTAATACAAATCTAGGCATGTGCTGTAAATTAACCATGAGCCACCAGATAAGAGCTCCTATCTGCATAGCGCATTGCTATATAAGCGCCCCACTGGCCCACGATCTCCATCAAGCGGGCGCCAACTGTTACAGCAGGTAATCATGGTTTCCAAAGTGGCTCTCCTCCTCGCCGTCCTGGTCTGCAGCCAGTACATGGCCCAGGGTGTCTACATAGTCTCCAAGGCGGAGTGGGGTGGTCGCGGCGCCAAATGGACCGTAGGCCTGGGCAACTACCTCAACTACGCCATCATCCACCACACCGCCGGCTCCTACTGCGAGACCCGTGCCCAGTGCAACGCCGTGCTGCAGAGCGTCCAGAACTACCACATGGACTCCCTGGACTGGCCCGACATCGGCTACAACTTCCTGATTGGCGGAGATGGCAACGTGTACGAGGGACGTGGCTGGAACAACATGGGCGCCCACGCCGCCGAATGGAATGCCTACAGCATCGGCATCAGCTTCCTGGGCAACTTCAACTGGGACACCCTGGAGCCAAACATGATCTCCGCCGCCCAGCAGCTGCTCAACGACGCCGTCAACCGTGGCCAACTCAGCTCCGGCTACATCCTGTACGGCCATCGCCAGGTCAGCGCCACCGAGTGCCCCGGCACCCACATCTGGAACGAGATCCGCGGCTGGTCCCACTGGTCTGCTTAGGTCCTTGACACGAACTACAATAAAGTTAAACGCACCTGGAACTTGTCTTTTGACTTGGTAATACTGTGCAAAACATTTATTAGGCAGTCGGGCGAATCTGAATATTGTTCTGGAAACCATGGACCCACTGGAACTCTATGGCCGTCGTGTAAATTAGGAACAGTATGAATATGGACCACATGAACAAGCCAGCGGATCGGCGGGCAACAAAGTTGAAGGTGAGGCACCACCACAAGGTGGTGGTGATGGTTATCACGAGGAATATGTAGATGGTTACGCCTTCATCCCCATACAAGGTTACTTGACCGCGGGCGTTGAGCTTCTTTTCCAATACAAATTCAATGCCCACGTTGACCACCAAACCTGCGGGAAAAAGAATCAATTACTCATTTCCTTTACAATGATCTTAAAGCAGATTCGCTAACTGTCATTCATTAGTTATATTACGCTGTTTTTTAATGTTCTGTTCTGAATGCGATAACAATATCAGCGATACCAAGAATCAATCAGAAGTAATGATTATTTTATCTGATATATCTTAAAAGCATATTATCCAAGTGGACATCGATATCTTAATATCTAAAAAGTGCAGAGTATGAATTTCTGAAAAGCATGGCAGAGATCTATACTTTTGACACCACCTCTTTTTAATTATTTAAATTAGGGCACAAATGTTTTCACAACAATTGGCGTCAATGTATCTGCTATCTGCCGAGCTTATCAACATTTTAGATGTTAAATGCAATATCTAGCTCGAAATTATCGACTGTCATCACTAACTATAAACTGAACCACCGATGACAGCCCCAAAAGCCATCTTTCCGTATCCGTGCTTGGCGAGATGTGCGTAGGATATAAAGTCCGCCGTAGCAGCGGACACCGAGTTGAAGGTGATGCTCATATAGGAGGGGGCCAGATCAAAGACGACCCCGATGATGGATATCAGCGCATCCATTTCCCAGGCACAAATCCAGCAGAATATGATCACGGTGGACAGTGTAAGCACGCAGTAACCCTGCCAAAGGAATGGTATTTTAATGAGTCCTCAAAAGAAAGTGATCTTACCGAGTGGTAAAACGGCGGGATGTCAGTGCGAGAGTGCACGAATACAATTATTGCCAGTGGCATCGTTACCAGTAATGACCAAATGGCCATTCGGAACTGAGGGATATAATACCAGTCCACGTACTTGTGCGCCAGCATAGCTGGGAATGGTAAAATAACATGAAATTTCAATAAGATTACTCTAAATTGGAAGGAATAAGTATTTGCATTAAACTGAGCATTTTAGGATAGTGACGAAACAAGTCGATCACCAATGCATTGGGTGGTACTTGTGCGCCAGCATAGCTAGGGAATGTAAAATAACATAAATTTTCAATCAGATTACTCTAAATTGAAAGGAATTTGTATTTGCATTAAACTGAGCATTTTAGGATAGTGACGAAACAAGTCGATCACCAATGCATTGCCTATTTTTCTGCGCTTACGTACTCTCAACTAGAGCGACGATCACGAAAGGAGTCAGTACAATTTGTAGGCAGTTGAGCATCTTGCTCCAGCCGTGCTTGACCTTCTGGTAGTCCACCAATGGAACCACCAACTGGAGCATTAGGTTGACCGGGGCCTTGAGGATGTGTAGGATTCGGGTGCATGTACCACTGAGGTACCATCGCTCTGAGTCGATCGGATTGATGGCGTGGAGGAACTCGCTGAATAGGAACAGGTTCTTCGGATTGGCTTTGCTGTGGAGAATACTGCGGTTGGTTTCTACGTCAACTTCCTTGTGATGAATCAAGGGCTTGGGTGTAACAAAGAAACCTGCGTTGTATGTTCGTTTGCGATATAACTTAGATTCAAGGATTTGGATTTCATCGTCCTGCTGTAAATTATTCAAGCGCACAATCTTTTCAGTCAATGCAAGATCGTGTATTCGGGATGATGGTGACTGTCTCAACACGTCAATTTCCATTTGAAGTTCTAAAAAAATGTAATTTTAAATATTATTAAAAGTCATTAGCCACATACTCACTTCTTATTGCGTAACGCAGGAGGATCAGATCGACTATGTTAATTATCAGGTATATAGGATAAATACTCAGTATCACTGAAAACGTCGAAACAAATGAATTTTAATGGGTATACCTATCAAGTAAACTTACTGGCACCCTTTATCCATGGCGCTAGAGCAGTTTCTATTATGAAAAATCTCACCACTTCCACGATTAGCAGAAGGAACAAAAGATCCCGGAAAATACTGTGACCATTCATTCTAAAGGGCCGAATAAAGCACACCGCTCCGCCGCTCAAGCAAATGATCGTCAGGGCGTTGGCCATGGCTATGTTGAAGGTGAGACCCTCCAGCCTGGCTGGCGACAGGTTGACCAAGAGATCGGGTGTGGAGTTGGCCACGCCCACGAGCACCACGCCCGCCACGTACTCGTTGACCCGCATTTTCAGAGCGGCGATCTTGAGTGTTGGTGAAAAGCTGCAAGGATTGGGTTGAAAAGAGCCCAGATGGCAGTACATGTCCATAATTCATACACTTACTAGTTGTTGACGCTCACGTAGAGGATGCAGAGGAAAAAGCAGTAGATTAGTGCAAACAAGAGCATCACCACTATTTCAGTTATTTTATCGTCGATCTTGAAGGAGCAGTACATCATAACGTAGTAGTTGAAGAAGTTGGTGATGTATCTGCAGTCGTCGATTTTTGTGGCCATTTCGCAGCGATGGCCATAATGGAAGTGCATAACCGCCAAACAGCTCACCTGGCATTCCGGATATTTAGTAGGTTCGGAAAATTCACTCTTTAACGTACTCACATTTTCCATGAAATTGCTCCCATTAAGAAAGCCTGCTCATTTAAAATTATATTGGTTAACATGTCGCTTGAAGAACATCGTACTTACTATAAGTGCTCGTATTTGCCAAGTGTTTTAAGGACATCGTGGTGTTCAATTATTAATTTATCTTTCAGATATTATTTCTTAAACCATAAAAGACTGCTTGACATAGATCGTATAACCAACTTGTACATTTTTCGATATCCGTTCATAATGTGAGTAGTTAGGGGTATAGCTATTTGAAAATGGTGCCTGGAAGTATGCAATTATCGCTATAAATTATATCTTACCTTCAACCATTCCATAATTCTGGACCACTGCTGGAATGTGCTAAATGTACTTTGGTTTAATTTTTCAAATATCACTTGTGTGGCGTTGCTTTGTATGAAGATCGCCAACTATAAGCCGGGAAATTATGCGCGAGCCAATCCGTCAGAGGCGATAAGGACCCACCAGAAAAGTGATCGTATAAATCAAAATCAGCAGATTGTGACGAAGCTCTAAGTAAGGTGCTTCCCCCAACACGAGTCTGTGCAAGTGCCACCGATTAGCGTTGTAAATCAGTTATACGCTATCCGATAAGGAGCGATTTTTGACCACAGTTTTCGTTATAAGCGCCCCACAGGCCCACGATCTCCATCAAGCGGGCGTCAACTGTTACAGCAGGTAATCATGGTTTCCAAAGCGGCTCTCCTCCTCGCCGTCCTGGTCTGCAGCCAGTACATGGCCCAGGGTGTCTACATAGTCTCCAAGGCGGAGTGGGGTGGTCGCGGCGCCAAATGGACCGTAGGCCTGGGCAACTACCTCAACTACGCCATCATCCACCACACCGCCGGCTCCTACTGCGAGACCCGTGCCCAGTGCAACGCCGTGCTGCAGAGCGTCCAGAACTACCACATGGACTCCCTGGACTGGCCCGACATCGGCTACAACTTCCTGATTGGCGGAGATGGCAACGTGTACGAGGGACGTGGCTGGAACAACATGGGCGCCCACGCCGCCGAATGGAATGCCTACAGCATCGGCATCAGCTTCCTGGGCAACTTCAACTGGGACACCCTGGAGCCAAACATGATCTCCGCCGCCCAGCAGCTGCTCAACGACGCCGTCAACCGTGGCCAACTCAGCTCCGGCTACATCCTGTACGGCCATCGCCAGGTCAGCGCCACCGAGTGCCCCGGCACCCACATCTGGAACGAGATCCGCGGCTGGTCCCACTGG